CCCTCCCATTTCTCTCACTTTTTCTTACACATTCTCTCCTGTCTCGCTCGCTGTCCTTCTGTTTTCTCTGTCCTCACTTTTTTCACCTCCCTCTGTCTCTGTGGCTTTCTTTCTTTTTTTTTTATCAGGTGTCCAAATGCATTTACTGGTGATCGCTGTCAAACCTACGTTATGGCCGGTTTCTACCGTATGTCGACTTCCTCTGCTGTCACTGGTGTCGGACTGTCCTTGTGTTGTGCGTGCATGCTGGCTGATTGCTTCCACGTCCTGTTGTGACCCGATCTTTACACGAGTGTCTCCTCTGATGACTCACTCACAAGCTGGCGTAGATTAGCAGAGTCTGTTTCCGTGTATAGTCAGCATGTGCTATTGTTTGCTCTTCTCTGTAACTAACAGAGCTCTGCCTTCTTAGAGAGGGAGCTTGTGGTAAATCTTCTAACCAGCAGTTGTGTGAATTTCAAAATGCTTCATGAAAGCTGATTTGCATATTCGGAGCTGCATGTAACAACACAGCCTAATGAGAAAACAAATACTAAACATATTTTAACGAAGCCTGTAGTAAAACTTGACGCATGCATAACATGACTCGAGCTGATCGATGGACTCAAAGCCTGAGTAATTAACAGTGACTAAAGACATGACTTGTTTGGTAGGTGGTACAAAACAATTTTTGCAGTCAGGTAAAGAGTTGAAACCAGCTAAAGCTCAATAGTTTATGTTTTTATATAAATGGTTAATTTATATTTAAATATATGTAGAAATATTTCACTTACAGTACCATAAGAAGCACTACTGTGTCATTTCAGTAGTGATTCTGATACAGAGTAATACTCAGGCTGCAATGAGCAATYCTTATCCGATATTGATGCTTTGTGCAAATACACGTAATGTGTCTCATAAATCTTAAAAGCGTTCATTTTTAATAACTGCTTCATAAAAAATACAAGACATCAGAGTATTTTATTTATTCATTTTAAACTCAGAAGTATATTAATGTAGCATTCTCATTAGTGTAGCCAAGCTAATACAACAGAAAAAATAAACAGATGACACAATCATATTAAATAGATGTAAATAGTGTTGTAAACAATAAATAAGTAAAATAATAAAACCATTCAAAAAATACTGCTTATTATTGCTGCTATAAAAATGAAAACTTGAGTCTTAAATTACATTACATAATTTGTGTTACATGTAACGTCTGACTGAACACGTGCCTCTGCGCTAACTTGTAGCTCAGGTGGAAGAAAAAGTAGTTCCCTCCAAGATTTCAATAGTTTAGTTACTTTCCACTGTGTTCCTGCTAATGATACTGATTACCTAAAATAAGTGAAGTACCAAAGTAGTTGTTGATAGCCCTTTGAACAACTTTGAAAAACAAACTTTAGTTTTTCACCAGATGAACAAGCTAATGGCTAGCACAAATGGAATCAAGATCAAAGTGGATWGCTGATGTTTTAACTCTAATATCAAACCTTTCATAGGCTCTCATATTACCGCTGTTTTACAAATATTTACATGGCTGTCACTTTTACAATAAATAGGTATACTAGTGATATTCTAAACTATTTTCAAAATATTATATTCCCGAAGAAAATTCCCCAGGCTACACCAGAGGTTGTACAGCTAGCAGTTGTTGCTATTTCTACTTGCAAATAATAGATTTTTAWGTAAATAAAAAAGTGATGTTTTTYAAATTGGCAYCAATCCAATTTGMTCTGGGCACTGCTCTGACTAGCCATTAACTCATCAGTCCAAGTAAAATAAAGCTCTTATTCTCCAAACGYAAGCTTGTAGAGCTATGTACAACAGGTAAGACATTATTTGTTCATAAAATTCTGACAAAATAACACCTGAATAGGACTTTAGAGAACTTTAAGTGTCCACCAGAACTTTCAGCACAGTTTGTACAACGCCGGATCGCTGCGTTAAACAGCTACCGTGAGAGARGCTAGCCTTTCCAAACCCCACTGGCAAAAACATCCATCAACTACAAAAAGGATCCCCAACAGACCTGTGGAGGATTACAACTTTGATTGATACGGCCCCTCAAGGATACTTTAATAACAGATAAGATGTCTTTTAGCTGATCAGCTTTTTATGCATCCCGGATCATACGCGCACGTCATTATTGCCATTCTCGGAATAAATAAGTGACCCGGCATTAATGAAACATGATCTGAGGTTCTGACGCAGACTCTTCAGCGTCACGTCTCTGCAGGCTCATATGGTTGCAATTCAATGTAACATTAAGGAAATAACAAACTGGAGTCTCCATCTGCCGATTACAGAGACTCATCTCTGCAGTCTGACTCGCTCAGAGCCCACATATGCTGTTTGTTGTATGTTTGCACAGAACCCCCCACCCCTACCACACACACACACACACACACACAAACACACACACTCCCCCTTCTTAACTACAAGTAATTTCGTCCAGCATTAGGTTGTGATGCACTGAGCTGAAATCACTTGTCTTTTTGGCAGAGCAGACAGTAGTATGTGGGAGTGTGTTTTTTTTCTCCCACACACTTTCCCTGCGTTCTGTTTTCACTCCAGTGCAGCTGTGCATCTGCACCAAGGACGGCGTTTATTTCCTCAGTTTTTTTTAACGTACTTGGTTTTGCATCAATAGACAGTTTATAATTAAAAGGAAACAGGTTAAAACAATTGAAGTAACAACATTTATATTAAAGCAACAATGTAATGTGATACTCTCACAGATGTCGAGCATGCTTGCCGTGCAAATGAACCTTTTTTTACGTTTTAGGACCTTAAACMTACTAAATCAAGGTAAATGAATCCCCCTTTTGTTTTGAAAAGCAACAAGCCCTTGCACACACGCTGCTGCATTCCTAAAAAGCCGCCTCCTGGACGTACGCCGCCCATTCTCCTGAGATACGCCAGCGAAGGAGGACAGCTTCTTCTCAGCCACGAGAGCTTGGATTAATAAGAGCCTGTTGTCATAAGAACAGCTGGGACTTGCCTAAGACAAAATAAAGCWAGTGAGTTACCAGAGTTATGGGCTCGGCTCGTTGGTGCAACATCCCTCTACGGTCTCGCTCTGCCAGAGAATATAAAGTCGGACCATAATTCTCCATATTCAGCAATATTGTTCCAATACAGTGCAGCCATATTGAATCAACCCACCTCCTAATGCCAGCTRTTTTAACTTGCCTGTTCATGTGATGGGTGTGTCGGTCGACTGACAGTGTAGCAGTTTTACAGAGCAGGAGACTGAAAGGCCCGGATAATCTCCTGAGATGACACATATTTTCCCCCCTCATGGCAACAACGAGGGTTTCTACGCAACTTCCAAACTCTCGTTCTCATTAGGTTTTGTGTGTTTATGTAACAAAAACAAATCTGCTCAATTAGAAACTCCTGTAATAAATTGGTCTTAAAACGTATTAAGACAAATTTCTGTGAAAATATAGTGAATTCTGAGCGCAGAATGACGGCTAAAATTTGCTGCAAAGGCTTAAACAAAGTTGTTAAAGCCACAAGAAGCAAAACCTAAGCTAAAACAGCAAAGGGTTAGCTAAAACTTAAAAGTAACAAAGCAGTAGCTAAAAGCAATAAATAACAAAAGGCTAGCTAAAAGTAGCATAAGGAGACACACAAAAAATAACAAGTAACATGCAGTAAAAGGTCTTAGACCTCTCAATGTATTTCTGTAAGGAAAATATAAAAAGGTAAATTTCCTAAAAAGTAATTTAAAACCAGAAGCTAAATTAAAAGTAGTTAGACTGCAATTAATATGTAAAACAATAACAAACATGCAAAAGAATAAACTACTCTCATATGAGATGAACTTTCTCAGATTTGTTGCTTTGCAGCTGTGCACGTGCTGTAGTGTTCAGTAGTCCTGWCTGCCTCTAAATGTGAGTTGCATGTCTGTGTTTTTGTCTTACACAATGACTAACAAAGTTTGTTGCTGCAATTTTGGTTTTACGTCACTTTATGCTACGAGGTGCCACTATCCTAATCTGGTCTCTTGTGTCTCCTTTTTATGTTTGTTGTTTTCCTTCCAACTGTCAACCCTCTGCCATGGCAGAGCATCTTGGGATTGAATTTATGGGTATGAAACAATCCATTTTGATTCTCCGCTCCTAGCCTAGTTCCATCCTTCATTGTGACATGCTCCTGTTTCTGTCTGTGGTGTGATCTGTAAATCATATAATCCRCTGATTAACTAATCAACCTCTGGAGCGATCATACCATAACGTCTGAGAGGTTCTCCATGAGTACGACTGATCCAACATCATTAACATGGATCTCCATCCTTGTACATGTCATTGGAAAAGTACTGTTAACAAAGTTTCTGCCTTACTCACCATACCCAAAGTGATTTTTATTTTTTATCTTTATTATTTTTTTTTTTTTGCAAATTTTGGTTTCTTATTCCATTCGTAACAAGCATGATGTGTCATGTTTGTTTCCTCTATCGCTCGGATCTTTTTTTTCTGTCATGCTTTCTCTTTCCTTTTGATTTACATGTGCCTCTTTCCATCTTTATGACCTTACCCCATCGCCCAAATGTCATTTTGAAGTTTGAATTGTAATTTGTATGTTTCTGTTTCAAATTATCTCCTATAAAGCATGTAATTCTATGTTTAGAGCCTCCAATTTACCTTCTATCAACTCCTAACTTCTCTTACCGTTAGCTTTTTGTCTTCTGCTCCCCCATTTTTTTTTCCAGAAAAAAAGCTTCGGTGTTTGGGAGTTTAGAATCAGTGCTAGAGGCGTCCTTTCAGACATCATGCAATTATACATGTGCATTCATGCACCGGACCAGGGGAACACTGTGTTATTGCTGTAGCACCAGTATCATTTCCTCTGTTTAAAGTCATTATCAGTCGATGACACACAGTGTGAAATATTATCCAGTTCACTGCCACTGATAAACTAACTCCAGTGATTTATTTAGGATGTCAGAAATCTGACACAAATTGGTACGTTGATGTGAAATGGCTGCCGGTGACTGATTGAAGGCAACCTCACATGTAAATTTAATATATTTTTATAACATTATTCATCAAGGACCTATTTTGCTTCGTCATTTTCCTCAGGGAGGAACAGTCTGCCTCACGCAAACTCTTTTCTGGAAAAAAAAAAGAAAAAAAAGGAAATCTTGTTGATTGTATGTCATGAAAAATCTAATTTCTTTTCCGAATCAACTGTTTCATAAATGATGGTGAAAAGAAATTTTGCTTTATTCAARTGAAAGCATGAGCAGATTAAGAAGTTTCATGAAAGATTAGGATTACTGAGCAGCAAGTCCGACAGGAACAACCTCCAGCTGTTTTTAGTCAGAGACCTGTAATAGTATCAGATGTTAAAGGATTAGTTCAGATGCTTTACAGTGGGTTATGTGAAAAGGGAATGAATAACTACTATCTTACCTGTTGTAGACAGATGTTTGAAACCTCAGTTTGGAGAAAAAAAAATCAAAACAGACTGAGACCAAAGTGGACTACTGGATCCTAAAATGACTCCTCTATACTTTATATACGTATATACATATATATTATTTTTTACATACACTGCGTTTTTCCATTGCACACGTGAAGCAGACAGGTCAGGAAGAAGCTAGGTGGGTTAAAGGTCATTGGGGCAAATAAGGCTGCTTCACTTTCCTCATCAAAAGTATTTATGCCAGTCATTGAATTTGAACCTGCAACCTCATGATTACTGGCTCACTTCTCTAACCTTTGCACCACTTCATGACAAATGACACAATTATTCCAGCCACAGACTAAAAACCCAGGTGATTGGCCAGGGGCGGGGAGGCTATAAGCCCCACCCATTTCCAAGTAAAATTGAGTTTGATCCTCGCAATYAATCATTTGAGGAAACTTTAAAGCAGGGGTCTCCAACCAGTAGCTTGTGAGCTACCGGTAGCTCCTGAGCACATTCAAAGTAGCTCTTCAGTTCTTATGAAAAATTAGGAGAAGCAAAATTTAATTTGTCACTGGCCAAACAAACTTTCARTTAATTCCAATCAATGTATAGATGTCCCTTCCCCTTAGATGTCAATCAAACAGTTTAGGGCTCAGCATGGTTTATCGCCAGATGATGCGCTGTCATGTGGTTGTTCAGCGTTCATTTTTGCACACACCTTTCATAGCCCCTTGAACTACACTGTGCCAAACTCCTGGGAAACCCCCCTTGCTGCAGTATACAGGTATGTCACTACAGGGGGTTTCTTCCTGCTGGAGTCTACAATGCGGAAAAAAATCTGAGACCTGTCACCCGACGCAAATTTTGCACAAATCTGTTGCAGTTAAACCCTAAGTTCGCAGTGTGAAATACAATATAACATGAATGGATAAACACAAAAAACACAGTCATGTAAATTCAGTGTTCTTTGTAGTGGTTTCATGCGAATTGAAGACAATGTTTTTTGTGCAAAACAGTCTTATTACAATGGTTTGAGGATTAAATTAAATGTTGCAAATAGTAGCTCTTGGACAATCTCATTTTGTGAAAGCAGCTCTTAAGGAGAAAAAGGTTGGAGACCCCTGCTTTAAAGCAATATATGAGTTTTTAGGTAGCAGGTCTCAATTATGGCCTTGATGTCCTCAGACTAGCGGTTAGCTTACCAATCTAATGAGAAGGGGGTTTTATTCTCTAACTATGCCCACACRCAAGAAACTCRCACCTAATCCTACTTTAATCTAATCAGAATTAAACTCTAATGCAGAGCAAAGGTAAGAGCTAMCTACAACAGGTAKGAWTTTTATTGTTCATTAGCTGTCCCCTATTAAAGAAAACATTTCTGAACTACCTTTAACATCTTTACATCAGCCTAAGTTTCCACCAGTTTGCAGCTGCTCAGCTTCAGCTAAACGCCCACTCRCCACCCACGCTGCAGCCCAGTACTYTGTTAGRGATGGTGTTACAGYAGACATTTGYTTATTTTACTGAGCTGTAAGGGAAAGGAAGYAGGGWAAATCTGACTGCTCAGTATTTAGACAATGCAAAAAACACGTGAGAAGAATGAAGCATGGAGGTGCTAATTGTCTCCTGTGTGTCTGTGGTGTGTTTGTGGGTGTGTTGTTGACAGAGGCAGAGGAACTCTACCAGAAAAGAGTCCTGACAATCACGGGTATCTGTGTGGCTCTGTTGGTGGTGGGCATCTTGTGTGTGGTCGCCTACTGTAAAACCAAGTAAGTTTCTGTCGATTTGCTATTTTATTGAATAACTATAGTGCTCTAATTTCAGGTTTTAAGCTCCATAACAAAGGGACAGTTTTAGTCCCGAATCAAAACTAAGAGATTAAATGGAGGTTTGTGCCGCAGGAAACAAAGACGGCAGATGCACAATCATATGAGACAGAACATGTATCTTGAACATCCGAATCGGAACCTTGCCAACGGACCTAATCACCCAGGACCCGGACCAGAGGAAATCCCTATGGTAGACGTACGTTTGTGGGAGAGTTCATTGCAAAATTTCCCTATAAATCCACAAATATGCCAAACTTTTATGCATTCCTGTGCAATCCAAGTAATTTTTTTGCCACACATTTAAAAAAATGTTTTTTTACAGTACATATCAAAGAATATGCCTGCAACTGAGCGAGTCATTCGATCTGCAACAGAACGATCATTCCCTGCCAGTCACGCCTCTTCCAGATCTCACAACTCTTCCACGCGAGCCCATTCATCGACTCAAAGGTAAGCTTTTACCTGTGTGCTGCTCTTTTGGTCATGATCTGTTGGTCTTTGTTTCGTTGTTTAGTTGTGGGCTGATGTCATGCTCTTTAAATATTTGTCTTGGTTTATGATGCTTTTGTTGCTTAGTTCCTGTGTTACTATGCTTCTATGTTCAGTTCCTTTTTTTCACACAGATTTTCTTTTTCATAAGCTTTGTTTTATTATGTAAAAGCCTCTTTTTTATTTTCTTATATATTTCTGTCCGGCTCCTTGTTCTCGGTTCAAGACAGTTTGGTTTCCTGTTTGGTGTTATTAAATGTCTTCAGTAGCTCCTTTTTATTTATTTGATCTCCAGAAAATCTTGTCTCCACTTGTCAATGTTTTCTTTCTTCTTACAAATTTCAACTCAGCWAATCACCCCTCCCAGTATTTGCACTCCTTGGATTTCCTTGCCATTATCAGATCCTTTTTTGACATGCTTGAACTTCTTGAACAGCCACAGTTCTGACAAAAGTTGAGATGTTCTGTCAATAAAAATAGAATGCAATGATTTGCAATGAAACACAGTAAACCTAAACATAAATGCACCATTTTTGGTGCAAGAAAATAAAGTTTTATGGCATCGACACATCTCAAAAAAGAGCTGTAAGAATGAATTGTGATTAGAAATGTTTTGCAGCGATTTTTGGTTGTCTGGAAAGAAGTCCGTAAAAGGAAARCACATTAACAGAATACTTTAAAGAGACTGAATGTTTCAGGAGGAAACATGGGCCGAGGTTTACCAGGCTTTTCAACAGATTTTGATGGACAGTCAAAAAGTATTGCAATAAACAACTAGAAGCACTTGGAGAGTGCAAACCTCCACCAAGTCCAATTTCCCCSATCCTGTAATAGAGTGTAATAGAATAAGTTCTGACGTAGCAAACATTTAAGCAGGCAGTATGCACGGGATTTCTTCCCAGTGGAGTCCAATGTGGGGAAAAGGGGAAAAAGTCAGACTCGTCACCTGACGTTATTGTTGAAAGCTTTCGCATCAGTGTTACATGATTCAAAAAAGCAGAGTTTTCATTGCGTGTCTAATCACACAAACACACACACATCTTCCTATCATTGTGAGGACCACACACAGCGTTCACAACCACGCTCTGCGCATTCTTTTTTCCCCAAAGTTTGGCAAGAGGTGGATAGAGGGGCGCACAAATAGCTCTCGACTTGATCTGGCCTCATTTAAATAATAATAAAACTGAACAAACAAACAAACAAACAAACAAACAAACAAACAAAGAACCTCCGAGTCTGAAGTCCACCGCYTRACTCTTCCTCAGTCTTCATCGATCTGTGTACAAGCCTYCCGATAATGTGGTGTGTTTGAGAAAATGGGAAAAATAGGTTTCATGCTGCAGTCATGCACTTCGTGGTCACAAAATGTTCTCTAAATTTGCACCAAATGCGTAAAAATGTGCACATTATGGCAAGAATTATTCATCATTACATCTGGTTTTAACATTACTTTTATAGTTTGAATTCCAAACACTGAAAGCTGTCACAAATTTTTACAGAAGCCCTGTAAAAGCATCACAGCTTTGCCGATCTGAGAGGATTAAAAGAAAAAATTTCTGTATRCGCATCYTGATCCGGAACATCACCAAAATTTAATGGCATGTTACTTGTGCCATATTCACATGTGTTGTAAATGTCATGACAATCCGTCCACAAGTTTTTGAGTAACGTTGTCCACAGACAGAATGACAGCCCGACAGACAGACATACGCGACTGAAAACATTACCTCCTTGGCGGAGGTAACAATAATATTGTAATAATGATAAGATATGATATACTGTCACTTAAAGCTGTGGTCAGACAAATTGAATGTTACAATTCTATCTTGAAACAAACTCCACGTCCTTCATGCACAGCTGGAAAAACCAGCCTCTCTGATGGTATGGGACCTGGATCATTGGGTATAACATGGCTTACTCACACAGGTTTTAAAATTGTTCATGCTCCCAGCCAGCCAAAAAATAAATAAATAAATAAAACAATACAATAAATAAAATAAAACTCAACCAAAGACCCCCAGGACTGTTGAACAGCTAGAATCCTCCTGCAGCTGGTCTCCTGAGTTCCTCAGCCTTTAAAGGCCATTATTAAAAGAAGAAGCAGGAAACATGACCCTGTTCCAACTTTGTCTCAAGATGATCGGAAAATATTGTACAACTTCTTTGCTTGAACATTAGCTATGTTCACTATGTTCCACTATAAATAAAATACGAGTTTGTGAGATTTGCAAATGATTGAATTCTGTTTGATTTATATTTTATACAACATCATTACTTTTTCAGATTTGAGGGTTTTTGGAATTGTTTTGTGTTGTTTTGATTCTTGGTGCCTCTCACTGTTCTTTGTCCAGAGTTTTATTGTTACCTGCTGAGTGAGTCTTTTTTTATCTTATCTTGTTTAGTCAGTTAGGAGAAGTCAGTTGGATCACATTTAAAGCCATTTTTACAGACATAACATCATGGTTATATCTGGTTACAAATCAATTCTAATGAAAGGAATGCCTGTGTGTAACATCAGGATTAAACTGTTGGTGAGTTTAGATCATATGACTCAGCGATAAGAGACTTTAAATCTTTCACAGAAATCAATTTGATAGCACAACAGAGCGACAAATAAAAGAGAGTTTTATTTCAGTAAGAGGTCCTGCTGGATTAATTGTGGTACACCGTCCCATTATTTTTCTCTCTCTAAGCAAATTTATGAGGACTCTGTTGTTGTGAACTAAAAGCTGACTGAAATCCATCCAGGTTTCGCTGAGAGAAACTTGAGGAAAAGAAAAATCTGGTGTATGAGCAACAGATGGCTGAAAATGGACTTTATTGATTTACACATGTGAATGTTTAAGACAATACGAGACATAATCATCTACCTGAGAGCCATAATTTATTTCCAGAGACGTCTTGATGTAAAGATTTCATAAATTACGTCTAAGGAGTGTGCACATGTTCTCATACGGCAAATAACTTGGATGGATTGGTTTAATGTTCTGCCTGTTGGAAACAGATGACTTCTTTTTTCAAAAGGCGTTCATCTTTTCCCAAAAAGAAAAAGAAAAAGAAAAAAAGAAACTTTTATATATAATGTATCACTGGGGTGTGTTCATGTTAACACCTCTTTTATTTGTCAGACATGAGGAGAGAACATGGAGCCTGCAACGGTCCGAAAGTTTCCTCTCCGACTCTCCGGGAATGATGTCATCGTCCGTGGGGACCAGTAAATGCAGCAGTCCTGCGTGCATGGAGGCGCGGGCGCGGCGAGCTGCACACTGTGCTTATTCTGATCCCCACCGGCCGGGGCTCCAGTACGGGGACTCGTTCGACTCGCTGGGAGACTCTCCACACAGCGACAGGTGGGCAGCAGGCTTTTCCAGAAGKACTTTGAAAAGTTTCRRTTRGTWTCCGAWGTGACAGGACTGTTTGAGCCATCTGAAAATATGAAACAGTGTGGAAACGATGCTTATTGTATGTCAACATTGCGCTACAGCTGAGCACTACTAACCAACAATAACTGAGCTCTACATTGTATTTTCTGCATAGAAYCAAAGTTTTCACATGTCCTCTTATAAARACTAAGARGTACTARGTYWACYACTGACTAAATATGAAATAAATAAAACAGAAATACTAGTAAAAATAAAAAATAAACTTTATTTATATAGAACTTTCCAACAATGCCTTACATTGACCAAAGTGCTTCACAAGATAAAAAGCAAATAAAAACAGGTCACAATAAATCATTGCAAGTTAAAAACACATCCAAAAATAAAAGAGCCCATTCAGTTTTGTRATTATTTAGGTGGGGGACATTTTGAGACAGCRAATGTTTGATGTCATTMAAGCAGCTGACAARGGAGTTTAAAGCAAGAGAGAAACTGGAAGTGACTGGCAAATAGATTTGCAAATCATCTGCACATAGATGGGAAGACAAACTATGGCGTGCAATAATAGGTCCTAACGGCAGCATGTAAAGTGAAAAAAGAGCAGGCCCCAGAATGGATCCCTGTGGTACATCAAATTTACACTTTGTAAGTGGGAAACTCCCACTTCGCAGTACCACTTGGTCACAGCAAAATTGCTGTGATTCGKCGTATAAAATCTCCACTTCACTGCATTTTTGCTGGTTGCCAGCTACCTTTTCACTCTGTGCACCTCCASTCAGTGGTGGGATGCAGTCATTTTGTYGGTAAGATAATCATCATGCATTATGGGAGATGAAGTTTATGGTCAATGCTGGTTTTAAAGCAGGAAATGCTTATTTCAAGGACATAAATAAATCTTAATAGCTCCTGTGGGCCACAAGAAATACCATGGCAGGTCACWTTTGGCCTGCAGGCCTTGAGTTTGACACATGTGCCTTGAATGGTATTTATTTTATTCAACAAACTATGTGGCAGTTTGTCATTCTATCACAAATATAGGTTAAGCCTGATTTAGCACAAAAGGAAAAAGAAGAAAGAAGCTGCTCGCCTTTTTCTAACTTGAGTGTACAGTGGTCTATATTTATCCTGGTTATTTATCTACTGCAGGAACAGAGCTATCAGTCGTCTTCACAAGACAGTAACCCAAAGAGCCTTGTCTCCCAAAAAATACTGGACTAAAATGGAACATCTCAAAAACAATCGATTCAGTCTAAAACAATGCAGTTTCATCCTTTTCACAGGTTTTAAATAAAGTAGTGCTTTTCTAGATAAACTGASTTCACTTTTAAAGTCATCTCTGTCATAGTCTGAGGCTGGACCCGGGAGTGCAGACTGACACCAGGAACTCAAAACTAAAACTAAACTTTATTACAAACAGCCAAAGCTGGCGTGGAAGTGGCTGAGAGATAGATGATTAAATGAAAACACAATTAACATAACTAAACACCAGAATCAGAAAACATAAATTAAACACAGACTATAAACAAACCAGAACTTCAGTTTTAGTGTCTAAAAATACTTTTATTCAAAAAACAAAACAAAAAAAAACTAATGGTCATGAAACACTAAAACATAAAGACAATTTAAAAATGTCAAAGAAAAAAAAGCATTTCTTAGTTACAATGTGCAAAGCTGGGTCAAAGGTTATYTGTATAAATGCTGAGGTTGCAATAGAAACGCCATTGACACTGAACAAATTATCCAGTAAATCTGTGTCGTTATACAGAGCTGATACTCAAAACTGATTTGRGCTAAATATCCTTTAAGATCTTTARAWTTATCTTCAAACTAAAATTGTCTTCTTTTTGAACTTGTTTTAATGTTTTTGTTGAGTATATATTATTATGTAGATATATTACTTAGGCCACTAAACCTTTAAGAACCCTACCCACAATGCTGTGCATGCAGAGAACTGGTCTATTTGAAGCTTTTCATTCTTTTCTCGTTCTTTTCTAACCCTCTGTGTTTTTTCCTAACAGATACGTGTCAGCCCTGACAACACCAGCCCGCCTCTCCCCGGTGGATTTCCACTACTCATTGCCCCCCCAGGTGCCTACCTTCCAGATTACATCCCCCAATGCCAGCCATGCCATGTCGCTCCCTCCTGCTGTCCACAATCCTTATCCTCTCGAGGATGACCAGCCTCTGCTGCGCCGCTACCAGGTGGCCCGACACGACGCCCAGTGCCAGGAGCCCTACCGGCAGCAGCGCCGTACCTATCTAAACGACAGCAGGGGCAGCCTGCCTTCCAGCCCCTACCAGCTGGCTGAGGAAGAAGACTATGAGACCACCCAGGAGTACCTCTCCTCTCGGGAGCAACCAAAGACAAGCGGGTCCAGTGGAACGGGTAGCCGGCGCTGGAGACGATCCAGACTGAACGGCCACGTGGCCCCGCGTGGATACGAGGCGTCTCGGGACTTAGGATCTCGGAGCTGCCTAACGGATAGTGAGTCTGAGGTGGACGGCGAGAGCACCCCCTTCCTCAGTATGCAGAACATGAACACCGAGCCCTCCACCATCTACAGGCCGGTGGACAGTCGGACTTCTCACTCTTCAGGGTGGCACAGCGGGCACGGGAACACGCATACGAGACTGACACACTCACGCCCCAAACCGGACACTACACCCCATTAAAGAGTGAAAACGAACCGAGAAAAAAAATCAATATAGTACTGATCTTCATCTATAAGAAATATTTTTATTTTATATAACTGACAGATATTCTAAACAAATGAAATATTTATTTTCATTTTAGCAAAAAGTTGTCTACTAGTTAACAACAAAGAATTTTTTATAGGGAAAACTATTTATATGTACATTTTGATTTACAGCATAAAAAAGATGGTCCAGTTTTTTCACGTTTAAAAAAAATTAGAGTAATATTGTGGTGCCTTTTGCTGTTTGCCGATACCAGAGGGCCAGTGGAGGTTTTGTAGCCTTTCTTATATGGACGCCTCATTTTTTATACACATTTATGTTTGTTTGTTTGTTTTTTGTGTGTCTTTTCTGAATTTTTCTGTTTCACTTTGTTTCCGAAAGGCATTCTTTTATGAAGTTTGTCCTTTTCCTGGAGCATAAACCCCTTTCATGTCATGCAATATAAACCACTTCAACGTAAAGTGTGTGTTTACATTAATATGATTTGCCCTCAGGGCTGATGATTATGGATGATGAATACAGTGTATTATTAATATTATTATTGTTATTTTATTTTATTATATTTGTTTCTCACTGACAAATGTTTCCAGAGACTGAATGTGTGCATAAATGTGTCTGCGTGTTCGCATGATCCTCTGCTTGCATGCACCTGCGGTTGTTGGAAGAACTTCCTGTTGCGTCCGCGGATCAGAACAGTGACACCCCCCCCCCACACACACACACACACACACATACACACACATATGGTTTCCCTAACTTTGTGTGGACTCGCATTGACTTCCATTCATTTTTACAGCCTAACCAGAACCCCAAAAATGCTGTTTTCTCCTTGGGTGGACCAAGCAAAATGTCCTCACAAGTGTCGTCTAATGTCAAATTAAGTCCTCGCAACAATATGAACATATGCCTACACACACATACACTCAGTGTAGCGGAACAGGTAAGACACCAAGCCTGCCCCCTTTAAAAAGAGCATTCCAGTAGGTTTTCCTTACGTTCTTTCACTGGTGGGGGTGGGGGTGTTAGGGTTAGCTACCATCTAAGACCAAACAAAAAGATTTTTTGTTGTTGTTGTCACTAAAAATCTACACATTTCATCATCTTTCTGTGTCCTTTCTTTTCTCGTGGCTGGTGTTAAAAGGCCATGCAGTGTCTCAGGATTTTTCTCACATGCGCCCCCCTCCCTTCCCCACATACACACACCACCACATTTCTTCATTCTCCCACCTCAAAGGGTTAGTTTGAACATTTTGATGAGAGAATTTTGTGGGAAACATTGTGAACAGCTCTTATCTTACCTGCTGTGGATGGCTACTATCTTCAAACAACTTCATTTGAAACACTTGATATGAAAGCTGTTTCATACACCTCTCTACAGTTTTTGTTTTCCAAAATGAATATGATTTTTTTAAGAAAAAWTTTATATTGCAAGTGCTATAGCTAACTGCTACTGCTATTTGCACTTAAAAATCTTAAACTTAATCTTAATCTTAAATCTTAAACTGTGTGCAAATGCAACTATTATAATTAGTTTTTGCATAAATGGCTAAAACAAATCTTTGAGTTTAAGTTGAAAGCACTTCTGTGTTGATCCCGCTCTGACCAGCCGTTAGCTCATTTGTCCAGTCAGCAGTGGTGAGCACAGCTAACCAAAACGTTAGCTTCACTAATCAATATTCTGCTTAAAAAAGAGCTTTAGCTTCACTAACGCAAACAGCTAAGAAGATTAGCAGGCCTGATGCAAACCTGTTGTTAGTTTTTTATTGGTTTAATTCGAAGGTGGGTGGGATCATTACTGGCAAACCAGCCAATCCAAACCAGAGATATAGCTATGGCTACGTTCACATTGCAGGCAAATGCGATCCATATCCGATTTTTTTTTATGACAGTCTGAACGRGACAAATCCAAGTTTTTAAAATCCGACCCAGGCCGCTTCAGTGTGTGGTTTTGAATCGTATACAYAGRGACTGCAGTGTGAACGCTCATGTCACATTCCATCCGACTTTTTCATCAGTGAGGTGGAGGTGAAGAAGAGGTGAATAAGACGTATCAATCCTAAAGTTACTCGGTCGATAATTTATTTCCAGCTTGTTGTTCTGTTCAAAAAATAAAAAGCTTCACCGGAGCATCCCGGTCAGAGGCAGGTTCAGATATAAACACTGAACTAAACAAGCACGTCAGATAATTATTTAATCAGCTCTGATTAAACAACAACTTCAGATTCGACGTGCAAAAAGTAGCATCCATGCTAGCTCTGTAAGCAAACAAGCCAGCTGAATGAGACATCACGTCTTTTACTGCACAAGCATCACATCAGCTCTGTGTAGCGTTCACACTAGAGTCTGATGCAGGTCGCATTTAAAATGTACTGTGAATGTTCACGCCAAAAGATCCGATTTTTTCAAAAAATCGGAACTGAGCATTGACCTGCAGTGTGAACGTAGCTTTAGACTAACTTATGACACTTTGTTTCAAAATAAAAGCATTTCTTTGATTGTGTTTGTATTTTTAGAAATACTGTTTGAAGTTAGTCAAATATCAATACTTTCTCTACCATATTTTATGCATAGTATTTTTTGTATTATTATTTAAATATTGTTAAATGTTATTTTTATTTCTTAGTTTGAAGTTTAGCTGCTAAAGATGCTACATGTCATGCACATGGTGCCTGACACATGCAGCACTGCTTGTAAGAGGGGATAGTTTTTGTTTAATTCTGGATAAATTGCATAAAAAAGTTTTACTTTTGTGAATTTTTTAGTGGATTTAAAATTAMTGGAAGCTAATAGGTCCACTGATGYTTAAAAAKATAAGCTTGTTCCACTATTAACGGAAGTGGATGAAGTGGRACCACTGCCAGTCAGAAAGAAACTGTTTCTACTAAATGAGGTTGTGCGAAGCGCAAGTAAGATATTAATCATTCACAACCGTCCCACAGAACCTTGCTTTAAAACATTCGATCTAACTCTTTCATAAAAGTCTACCTGAGGTTCTCAGACACTGAGGATCTGGAGGTAAACCAGGTCCCTCCCACTCACAGAACAGGAAAAGCCAAGTGGAAGGAGCTGTACGGACAACAGACTAGCTGTGAAACTGAGGAGGTTCATATGATGCAAAAATATGCAAAACTTTCTATTTTGCTCTTTGATTACATTATTTTCTAAGAGGTGACTGTAAAAACTCACTCACTTCTTCCAAACCTTTTTAAAAAGATCTTTATGCATCCATTTTTAAAACCTTTTCTCGTTGGAATGACTGTGATGTCTTCTGTTGAAACCGCTCCACCTCACACACCTCAGAACAATCTCAGACTCAGTTTCCCGTCTCCTCCAGTAGTACTTCTGAGAACGACTGARGATCCGAACAGTTAATTCCCTCACAGAAGCCCTTCATCCTCCACTTAAGTACAACYTTTTTATCCTATTTCGTGCAACATGATCTCAAATTTTCAGCAACTCGGTGAGAAAAAGGCGCCAATAATCTGTCATCAACGGAACGCCAAATGGTCTAATGAGTATCGACGCAGAACGTCATGAAAATGACTGATCTGCGATTCTTAGCGCTCGATGATAAATGTGCGTAGAATTTTGTTTTAGAGAACGATTTCTGGTCACGCTTCTGTCAAAGCTTACAAATGTTTTTATTGAGTTTCTCACCTCTGGGTCTAATTTTTGGATGTCTGAAAAAAAGGCTAAAGAAGATGCTTCTCTAGTTTAAATGTGACCCCTCCTTTTCCTTCAGTTTCCCAGTCCTCTCACCCAGTTTGCTACCAGCCATGTCTTGCCACTCTCTTCTTTTTTGTTTTTCTTTTGTTTGTTTTATGACCCTCCCCACCGTCACTTAAAATGTTTGAACATCTCTCCTCTGCATGTCCTTGTGGTCAAGGTTAGATGGGTGCATGGTTATTAAAATAACAATGAAAAAAAAAAGAAAGAGGAAAAAAAAGCAGCAGACAATTATTTTTCCAGTCAGCGAAAGTGTATTTCATTTAACATTCAGCAATAAAAAAGATTCTTCTCTCCCCCCACCTCATTCCTGACATATGCTAGAAAAAAAAGAACCACACAATAAAAAACTGCGAGTTTGTCATAGAATGTAAAATAAAATGAAAAATGACTCCACCTATTCATATGGAAAAATAAATCTTTATTCATATCATTTTATGTTGCAGTTATTTTGTGGAGAAAGTCTTCGAATCTGGGCTTCTGATCGATCTCATCTGGTGCGCAGAAAAACTCCTGGTGAAGCCAAACCCACTTAATATGTTGCCCTCAAAGTACAAATTTGTCTGGCCTGGCTCTGGTCCATACAATGCACTATCACTAAGAATGCTGGCCCTTTGATGGCCCTGCTGTGGTTTGTCAGAGCTAGGTCTTGTGTGGGCCAACACCACGGAAACCAAACCACAACTGGGCCAGTTGTGGCATGCCACCTTAAAAACAGCACCATCATTGCCAGAGCTGGACCACGATTGGTTATCATACCACATGCCATGCCAGCAGGGTCAGCTTGACACCAGATCTGGCCCACACCTGTCTGCTATGTATGTAGTTTAAAGATTAGACAGACAGACAGACAGACAGACAGACAGACA